AAATGGAATATACTGAAATATCACTCTCTACACGTTGCTGATGCATTCTTTCATTAGTTAATGAACTTCTGATTCTCACCTTTGAAGCCTGACCATGTTTTAGATATTGGAGAGAAAGACAACGTAAATTTTACAGAAAACTAATCGTATTTGATCAACTTTAATCTATGAGATAGATTGATTCATTATGGCTTCATTTGGGAAAATTTTCTTACTGTTTCTTAAAACAGTTTTTTTAGTATCTTACTTTTCCTTAAAGCAATTTTTCACTATAAAAAATTCAAGTTTTTTACTGAAAATTTGTTTTAAGAAGCAGTAAAAAAATTATTCCAAACGAGGTCTAACTTGTTTTTGGATTGTTATACAGTAGCTGTAGATGTATAGAATGTATTCAATTCTATTTTTTAGATGATTAATATATTGCAAAAAACTGCATCTATTTCATATAGTGATAGTTTTTGGTGATTGATTTATTGATAAACTAATCTGATCTCCTTTGTTGGACTATATGAATTAGTTCTTCATGAGAGGTCTGCTTCAATTGTGACTTCTCATTTGCATTTTTCCTATTATTGATGTGGTTGCAGCCACAATAATCAACAATTCAATATATATATATATCTTCTCATTGTTTTACTTAACTTTATATAACTAAACAGACAATAATACTTAAAATAAACAGCTTTCGGCTTGCATAGAAGTAGATTAATTTCGACTTCGTTTGAGTCACTTTTTTTACTGCTTTTTTAAAACGACTTTCTAATACAACATAAGGCAACACAACATAAATTAAATAGCAAACATAGCACATTACTAGCCAGCATAATCAAACTTGACTTTAGTCTTCATACCTAATTAGATTGACTTGAGGCTTAAATCCATAATAGCCAGCTACGACCCAACCTTAAACATTCCTAATCCCCAACTGTTGGGGAAGAGATGAGGAGTAAACACTACAATGACAAAACAAGCAAGAAAGTAAAAGCAGCATAAGAGTAAAGGACACCAGGATTTAATACGTAAAAACTGAAAAATAGAGAAAAAAATCACAGAACTATACCACACAAAGAATTCCACTATTAAATTTAGGAGAAATAAGTATAGATCTCTCTAGCTTCTCTCTCTAATAAGGACATCGTCAGAGATTTCGACACGTGTACCATCAGAGACATCGAAGATCGACAATCACGATCAGGAGCTTATATTTTGAGTCATTTTATGTTGTCGTTTATTTTATTTTTCAGTTTTTACAATTTTACCCTTATGGGTGGTCATTTGATATTGTAGCCCTGAGGGCATTTATGTCTTTTAGTTTTTGTTTCATTTTGGCCCATTTATAGGAGGCCTCATGCGTTGTACTGGATGATGAGTTTTGAAATGAAATCTTATTTTTCTTTGCTTGATCTCTAAGTGAGTTCATAAGAGGAGAGACCCTAGATGGGTGAAAGCAATACCCGTCAATCTTTGGAGGAGTCCAATGTTCGTGGTTTTACGATCTCTTTGTGAGTTCATTAGTTTACTTTTATTTTATTTGTAATTTTATTTCATCTCTTTTCTCTCCCACTCCATCCACCACCCCTTCCAACCTCCCCACTACCGGTGGCTCAACTTCCTCCACCCAATTCATCTTCTAGCTCCTCTTCCCAAATCCATCCCTCTCTCTCCTATCTCATTAATTACCCACAATTAAATCCCCTTATTCCCTCATAACCCCCCCCCCCTCTTTATGGGATTGATTTGAATTTCAAATTAATTTCCCTCCAAATCCACTTAACTTGAAATTTAATTTCAGATTTCTAATACTCAGACCAAGCCCCGCCTAGCTCAAACCGCCCCGCCCCTTCTCCCCACCTTGGCCGCCCATTCTCTCTTGCATTCCCTCTCTTGGTAAACCTTAGTTGGTTCATGATACTCGACGCCAAGAGAAGAAGACGACAACCTCTCCTCCCATCCTCGTCGTTGGTGCATGGCCGATCCTGAAGTCGACCATGGTTCCTTAATTGATGATCAAGGACGAACTAACATCCTTGAATCTCCGTTCTTCGACGTGGACTCTTCTATGGAGGATTACTTGAAGCACATCCTTTTACGTTAGTACCTTCCATCGAGGAGAATATTCCTCCCGGACATTGGATGCTCACTAGTTATCCCATGGATTTCCCGACGTTGGCTACTTCTCCCATGGACTATACCTTGGGCACAATTTGTCTACTAACGGCGTTGCTCGGTTTGCTTTCAATCTTCCTCCGTTAAAGCCCTACCGTCAAGAGCGTGAGTGAGAGACCCAAGGTGTAGAGTTCTGTTTGTTAACCGTGGATTATTGTTTCTCTCCATAACATTGCTCTCTATTTATATGTTGTTAATTTGATATTGTCCCGTTAATCTAATTGTAACTGCAAGCCTTGCTTGGTCTCTAGTTGATAACTCTGAGAACCTAACTTGGGTAAAAACTAAATTTATAATTAGCAGAGTTTTAATAATCTTATATTAAAATCCCAAGCAGTTCTTGTTTCTTTGCATATGTTTCACATCAGTTTAGTATCAGAGCATGGTTACCCAGGGTGCGAACTCGACAGAGTCTAGCTTTTTTCCACCCCGGGAGAATGATGCGGACCTCCAACCGTTCATGCCTATCCGAAGAGGAGTTAAAGATCAACGGCCGTGATCGTCCTACGTTATCTTAAATTTTATTTGTAATTTTTATTTTAATTATGCATTTTCCATTTTTACCCTTACTTAAGACTCTTGTCTTATGTAAGCCCAAGGGGCAAAATTGTATTTTTATTTCTTTTAAGGCCTATATATAGAGGTTCTTGCTCTTGTTTGAGATCAATGATGAATGATTAATAAAATTTTGTGTTTGCACTTGTGTTCTTTGGGAAGAACCTTGGGTGAGATTCCTATGGGAGGAATTCAAAGCTTCCACCAGCTACAGGATGTGTACGAGCTCGTGGCTTGAAGTCCCTTGGAGAAGGGCAACGTAATACCCGTCAGCTACAGGATGTGTTCAGGCTTGCCGTTGTATCCTTATTTCCCTAAATCCTTTTCTCCTCCTCCCTTTCCACCGGCCAATTCTCTCATAAAGACCTCCTCTTCCACAAAACTGCCGGCCACCTCCTTCCCTAGCCCCACCTCCCTCAAAAAAAAAAGCCCCTCTTTCCTTATTTAAGTTGTCATTAATTTGAAAAGATTTTAAATTCAAATGAATCTAATTTGAATTTCAAATCCATCGTCATTAATTATTTTATTTTTGGTAACCTATTTCATTCAATTAATTAATCAATTCTGAAATTGATTGATTAATTAATCCCTTAATTCCAATTTTATTTCACTATCATTACTTTCCTAAATTAGCTCCTATTTTATTTGAAAAGTTTTCGAATTCAAATTCAATTGTATTTGAATTTTAAATTCTTTCCAAAATAACATACATCTATTTTAGGAAATCCTTCAATCATATTAAATCTGAAATTATTTCATATTTAACTCTCCAATCTCCCATTAATGCATGGATCCACATACATTGTATGTAGACACCTTTCCTTTCCCTCCTCGTTAGGCCGGCCCCTCTCTGTCCCCTCTATCTTAATTATTTCCTTACTAATTAAAGGCCCCAATTAAAGAGATAATTAATTCCTCTCTTCCCTTCCTCTTTTTTCGTATTTGAATTTCAAATTCAAATCCATTAATTAAGGAAAATATGAGATGAAATTTTAGCTCTTTAATTTTTTTTTAATTACCCTCCTCCTGTTCTACATCACTCTCTCTCTCTCTCCCTCTTTGCTTCTCTTCTCACATGCATTGTTCTCAAACTTGCCCTAACAAAAATTTCAAGAGAAAGTCAAGTAAAATAACTCCAAGGGACGCAACCCTTCAAAAAACTAGAAAGAAAACTATCTAGTCATCTCGTAGCGCTACTACACTCAAACCTCTATCTTGAACTGTTGTGGTGCCATATCTTGGTCGTTGCAGTGCTCTACTCTCTATCGTTCAGCGCTGGAGCGCTCGGGTACACAGCATCGAGGCGTTGTGTGGGAAAAAAAATTTGTTGCAATCCAAACAAGGGGTTGTACAAAATAGCTTTGAGGTCAGAGACAATAGAAGAACCCGATTGATCAACAAAATCAAATTCCACACATAACAAAGCCAACTTAGTTTAGCTATGATATTCTAATAAATTTAATTAAACCTTTAATTAAATCATGATTAATATTTGCACAACAGAATTTTTATTTGACATACTTCATCTAATTATCTCATAAATTTATTAAAAATCTTACAAGTCATCATAAATCCTTTCTGATTACATTGTTCTTCAGAAAATGAAATATTATTGGTAAGCAATATAAAATCTAATACATGATGATGATAAAGCCAAAGCTATAACATCAGCAAAAGAGACTTTCTCGAAATTATACTAAAATATAGAACTCCATCATGAAAAAAATTGAGAGTAATTCTGATCCACATCCTCATACTCACAATGGCATCAATCATTCTAAGGATTAATTAAAGATCATAATCATCATCATCATCCTTAACAACAATCAATTTCTTAGCCAATTTAAAGTCATTCAGAAATCATTATTAGCTACATTTTTCAACTCAGCTCCTAATAATAAATAGTACAAGCACCAACTCCAGATAAAAAAGAACAATCGCTATTTGCATAATAAGAAATGATTTGAAATTTGACAACATCATAAGAAATATGTTCATTCGCCAAAAAAAACTTTTTGTGAAGATAATGTGTGGAAGCTGAAAATTTTGCCTTTAATATAGCATGAAAGCTCAACACACTTTAAATTAAAAAGATAATTCAAACTGATACCTCTATCAAAATCATCAAATAGCAAGCCAAAATCCTCATCTTATCAAAGCAACAAAATCTTTTTTTCTTTTACTTAGGTTTTGTTTAGGACAACTTTCTTAATGCTTCATACAACAGCTTTTTAGTATAAAATTTTCTAGTTCAAATTTTTTTTTACTATAAAGTTATTTAAAAAAATAGTTAGGAAACTGTCCAAAACAAAACCTTAAGACATCAGCAACTGAAAAACTCATTTTCCGCTTCAAAATACAGTAAAACTTCAAAATGCAGTAATTCATCTCCAATGGAAGTCCATTTCGTGCTTCTTCATCTCGCTGCGAAGGTAATCGGTTGTCTTTCGTGCGTTTCTTCTGCAAATCCTCTAACACAAAAAATTGGCGTAGCTGAACTGTACGATGCCAATATTGCTATCTCGCTGTTCAACTGCTTATTTTTGGTTTACGATTCAGCGTTTGAATGGAGCAAATGATGGACTGTATACCACCGCATTCAATTCAGTTGGAGATGATCTTAATTTTAAAAGCGTGGGAAGAGATGAAATTATCGACGCCAAAGTTCTACTTTATTGAATAAAATATAGTAAAAAACTAAAAACTACATACCATTAAATTCAGAAATGAAGCATTTTTCGATAGTTACAAGTGCTGGTAGATCATATTTGCTGCCACACTCATTTAATGTTCGCTACTTGCAAATTCTTTGACGTCTTTCACTCGAAAACGATACATAGTAGCTTTTTCTGTGGTTCCAGAAGTAGAGAAATGAATGGATATAAGCATCAGGTAACGAACAATGGACCATTCTAGAACGAGTAGAACATTTATTAAGATCGAGATAAACTAATATAAGCATGTATTTGATGATAGGGTATTAGTTTAGCCAATTTACCATTACTTTCTTCTGCTTTGTTCTTAAAAAGTCAATCTTTTGGAAATTCAGGAAAGCCAGCGCGTCCGCCTGAGAGAAAAACAGTGCAGAACATAAAATTTCATTGTTTTTTCCAGGAACCAGAGATCGAATCGAAGTTAGGAAAATAAAAATGGATTATTCTGAGGATCTAATGCTACCTTTTGGGAAGAATCTGAGGAGTGGAGCACAGAAGAACGCCTACAGAATAGATGCCTGCGAGACGAAGAAAGCAGGCAGAAGAGTCGTAAGCAGCAGAGACAAGGAAGAAGCGAAGCTAAAAGACGGTTAAAGGCTTCGTAGAAATTTTATAAGGCGGTTAGTAAAGAAGACGAAACGAACGGAGAGTTTTTCACCAGGGAAATCATCAACGATGCTTGACCGTCCGATATTCTATCAGCAACACATGAGCGGTCAGATGGTTTATCTTTGTTTTATATAATTATAGAAATTAAAAGTTGGAATTTTCTGAAGGAGCAATTTAGTAAATCTTATTTTGGCTACTATATATATAATTTTCAAAAATAAACCATCTAGGGCTTCATTCAGAACAGTTTTCTTAACATTTTTAAAAATAATTTTCTAGAACACAAAATTTTAATAAAAAAAAAAATTATACTTAAAAGATGTTTTAAAAAACAGTAAGAAAGATATCTCAAACAAAACCTAACCCTTATGAAATTTTATTAGAAAGTTGAATTGAACGACCTCTTTGAAACTTAACCTTTTTGTTTTTCAAATAACAACAATAATTTCATTTGGCTACTATTTTATTATTATTATTTCAAAAATTTCAGTGATGAAAAGTTGCTTTCTGCAATTATAATTGTTAAATTGCTTACTCTACAATAACCATGACAAATTTTATAAAATACAACAACCGTCACAAACGAAAAATTATTCTGTGCGGACACCGGACGGCGTCCGGAGATCAACCAGAACGCGCTACGTCATTTTTTAGCTTGGTACCAGTGCTCAGTACGACAATACCGTTGTGTATCGAGTGACGTGGCACGTTCTGATTAGTGTCCGGACTAGCCGGTGTACGCATAAAATAATTTCTAGCCCCAAAAAGACCTGAAGTAGGCATTCCCTCAATTCTCCTTCACCCGAGAAGGTAAATGAGAGATTCAATGACCTGCTGATTAAACATATTGAGATTGAAAATTTTTATATAGAGAATAAGTCAATAATTTTTATGAATATGAATTAAGAAGACACCAACTCTCAATTATTATTTCATAGCGATTTCTTTCGTCTTAAACATCTAATTTATTAATATATCATTTTAATATTTAAAATTATCATAGCCCTTTTCTAATGCATATGTTCCTACTAAAATACCGGCAGTCTTTTTCAATAGATTTTAATTTTAGCTCTTAAGAAAAAAAAAAAACATTTATTTTCAAAATATTGAGACACAAATTATTGAGAGAAATGTGCAAGAAACGAAAGAAGATGACAGAGCTGAGAGAAGAGGAAAGATAGAAAACAGAATTGTATTTGCTTAATGTTGGCTGTGCAGCGGTACAAGTATATATATAATACAAGATGGCTGAGAAGTAAATAGATACAGATTTTATACTAATGCTAAGTAGATAACGTCTTTGCTAATATCCTCCCGCAAATTAAGCATTCTGTGGTTGAATGTTTAATTTGGTTCTTAGTTCATTAAACCGAGTAATAGAAAACGGTTTAGTTAGGATATCCGCTATCTGATCATTTGAGGCAATGTGAATGAGCTGAATAGCATTGGATTCGATATGTTGCCGGATGAAGTGGTAGTCAATCTCTATGTGTTTGGTCCGTGCATGAAACACCGGATTTTTAGCAATGGCTATTGCCGAGGTGTTATCACAGTAGATTGGTGTTGGTGCGAGTTGTGGGATGTGTAGTTCTTCAGCCAGACGCCGAAGCCACAAGACGTCTGATGTTGCGGCAGAGAGTGCACGGTATTCAGCTTCGGTAGACGATTTTGCTACGGTGGCTTGCTTCTTGACTGTCCAGGAAATAAGAGTTGGGCCGAGAAAGGAGCAATAGCCGGAGATGGACTTCCGGTCAGATGAGTCGGATGCCCAATCGGCATCAGTGTAGGTACGAAGTTCCAACGGTCCATTGTTGATCGGCAGCCCATAGGTGATTGTTCCTTTGATGTAGCGTAGTAACCTTTTGAGTGCTTTGAAGTCCTTATCCGTAGGTTGTTGCATGTGCTGGCAGACTGCATTGGTGGCGTATGCTATGTCCGGCCTTGTTATGGATAGATATTGTAGTGAGCCAGCGAGTTGACGGTATAAAGTAGGATCGTGGAAAGGAGCACTTTCGGTTGGATCTGTTTTGGACGAAGGTGTGACTGGGGTGGGAGCTGGGTTGCAGTCGGCGTAACCTGCATCGTGTAATAATTTGGTAGCGTAGTGTTGTTGTGATAAGAAGAACCCGTTTGTGGATTGAAGTACCTATATGCCTAAAAAGAGAGAGATTTGTCCCAATTGCTTGAGTGCGAATTGCGCTTGAAGCTGTTGGAGTTGTTTGATAGCAGTGGTATTGTTGCCTGTGACAAGAAAATCGTCGACGTAGATTAGGAAATATATTTGAATGTTGTCTTTGTGAAAAATTAAAAGAGAGGGGTCGGAACGACTAAACCAGAATCCGTGTGTCTGGAAAAAGGACGTTAGCTTATTGAACCATTGTCTGGGTGCTTGTTTGAGCCCGTACAGTGATTTCTGTAATTTACATACTGCATCTGGCTGAGTCGGATCGGTGAAGCCTGGTGGCTGCCGCATGTAGATGTCGTCGGGTAGATCACCGTGTAGGAAAGCGTTTGAAACGTCCAGTTGGTGCATTGGCCACTGACGGTTGACCGCTAAAGCGAGGAGAAGTCGAATTGTTGGCATTTTTGCAACTGGACTGAAGGTTTCGTTGTAATTTATTCCGAATTGTTGATTGTAGCCTAGAGCGACAAGCCGAGCTTTGTATCGTTCGACTTGTCCGTTTGGTAATAACTTTGTCCGGTAAGTCCATTTGCAGCCCAAGACTGGTATGTTCGCTGGTTTAGGAACCAAGGACCAGGTGTTTTGTGTTTGCAGAGCCTTGTATTCTTCTGTCATTGCCCGGGTCCAGTGATCAAATTTGGACGCCTGGTTATACGTAGATGGTGTCACGGGTATGGAGGTATGAGCGAGTAGATTGAGAAATTGTTTGGGCTTGGAAATGCCTGACTTTAGTCTGGTTTGCATGGGATGAGTCTGAGTGGCTGGTTGCGGAATTTGTTGAGTCAGAGGCGGTGAGACGGATGAGTCTGTTGGTGATCGGTTATAAGTGGAGGTTGGTGTGGTTGTGTATTTTTGAGTAACGGGGACACGAGAAGGAGGTTTGAATTGAGTGGAGATTGATGTGTTGGTAGCCGGTGGTAGAAGCAAAGGTGGGTGAACTGGAGGCTGATGTTGTATGGGCGGGATAGGTGAAGGTTTGCTGTGTTTGTAGGGAAAAGAATTCTCACAAAATACCACATGCCGAGAGGTGTAAATCCGGTCATTCTTGATGTCGTAGCACTTGTATCCTTTGTGGTTGGGAGAGTAACCAAGGAAAACACATTCTGTGGAACGAGGTGAGAACTTGTTGGCGGCGTAAGGCTTGAGCCACGGGAAGCAAAGACAACCGAAAATCCGAAGATGATCGTAGGTAGGAGGTTTCCCCTGCAGGCATTGTAGAGGAATTTGAAGATTAATAGCTTTTGAAGGTAAGAGGTTCACCAGGTAATTTGCAGTGGACAGAGCATCCTCCCAAAATTTGTGCGGAACATTTGATGCGTGTAGAAGCGCCCGGGTAATTTCCAGGAGATGTCGATGTTTGCGTTCCGCTAGTCCGTTTTGCTCTGGCGTATGGGGGCATGAGAGTTGTTGCTGAATGCCGTTTTCTTGAAGAAATAATTTGAACGAGGTACTGGTGAATTCCCCGCCTCCATCAGATCGGAGAGCCTTAGGTGTCCTATTAAATTGAGTTTTAATAAGAGAACAGTAAGATTTAAATTTGTTAAGAGCCTCGTTTTTGGTGTGCATAAGATAGAGCCATGAGTAACGAGTGTGATCATCTATAAAAATGATATAATAGCGATAACCATCGGTCGATAACTGCGGGGCAGGACCCGAGACGTCCGTATGAATAAGCTCAAACGGTTTACTACTGACAGATTCAATTTTATTAAAACTCAGTTTGAGGCTCTTGGCCAAGTTACAAGAGATACAAGCTAAAGAATGAGGTACAGTTTGAATATCAGAAAATTGTTTTGCAAGAGTAGAGAGAATATTGGAGTTCGGGTGTCCGAGGCGAGCATGCCAGAGAGTATTCGTCGGAGTTGTTGCCGCAAAGGCTCGGTGAACAGCTGCCCTGGGATGCTGTATTTTGTACAAACCATTAAGAAGACGCCCATGAAGAAGTGGACGTCGGTCCTGTAGATCCTTAATGACAAACCCGTTAGCATTAAAGGAAATCGAAATTGAATTATCTTTAGTTAATTTTGAGACCGAGAGCAGGTTGTGCGTGAGAGCAGGGACATGAAGGAGATTATGTAGGAATAGCTTACGAGCATTGTCGGGTAGAGGAAGAAGTCCTTGACCGGAGTTTTGGATCGGCAGCGACGTACTGTTTGCAGTAGATACTGAGTCTGAACCGGTGTAGGCCGTGGGATAGAAGAGATTGCTTGCGTCGGGAGTGAGGTGCGTGGAAGCGCCGGAATCAAGAACCCAATCTTGATTTTGGATGACAGTCGGGTTGGCTAGAAGAGCTTTCTGTTGACGAGTGTCCGTAGGAGCGTATTTGAAATTGCACCTATGCCAACAATTGATGGCAATGTGACCGAGTTTGCCGCAGATTTGGCAAGTCGGCCGGGTAGAGGTTGGCACGGGAACAGCAGCGGATTGAGGCAGTGGGGACTAATTCTGCACATTGTTGGTCTTGAAGAATTTCTTGGTAGGACGACCGCGAGATTGGGTATTCTGAGCCGCATAGAGGGCTGTTGGAGTCGCGGTTTGTGCAAGATCCAGCTGCTGTTCTTGCTGTAAATGTATTTCTTCGTTGCAAAGAAGCGAATAGAATGTGTCAAGATCTATAGGCGACAAGGAATTGCGAATGGTAGATTTGAATGAGTTGAACGTTGGAGGTAATCCGTTTAGAATGTGAAGAATGACATCTTCCGATTCGACTTTAGAGCCGGACGCGGATATGCTGTCGACTATGGATTTGATCCGGTTCAAGTATTGCTGGAGAGATAGGTCTTTCATCGTGATCCGATAGAGTTCATTTTTGAGTTGCATCACTCGAGAGCGGCTGGTCGGTTGAAGACGCCGTTCAAGAACGGTCCAGGCGTCGTTGGTGGTGGCGGAATTGATGATGTAAGGAAGAATAGATTGAGAAATGGTTGAAAAAAGAGCAGAAAGAAGGTTGCTATCGGCGGTCTTCCAGCGTATGTAAGCATCAGAGGTGATGTCGTTGGGAGCCTGGAGCGTTCCGGTGAGATGGCCGGAGTAGCCATTTGCTGCAAATTGTTGGAGAATTTGCATACGCCAAATCGGATAGTTGTCCGCCGTGAGATGATGAGGCGTTAAATTCTTGATATTGGATACAAGAAATTTTAGCGGCTGAGGTATAGTGATGGAATCGACAGAAATTTCTGATAGAGTGGTGGTGGAGGAGGAGGTCGGAGGAACGGTGCTTGTGGAGATTTGATCTCCCGTCCCGGTGTCTGATACCATGAGAGAAATGTGCAAGAAACGAAAGAAGATGACAGAGCTGAGAGAAGAGGAAAGATAGAAAACAGAATTGTATTTGCTTAATGTTGGCTGTGCAGCGGTACAAGTATATATATAATACAAGATGGCTGAGAAGTAAATAGATACAGATTTTATACTAATGCTAAGTAGATAACGTCTTTGCTAATAATTATATCATCATTAGATATGCTTTAAGATTAGTATTATCTAAAATTTTAATATTTAATATTAATTTTAAAATCTATCCAATTGTTATTACTATTTAATAGAACAATTTTGTCCTAATTCCTCTCTTGATTTGTTTATGAAAATAAACCAAAGATGAAGACTTGCCTGAATTTCCAGGGAAATAAAGTTAAGTCGGCCGGTGCTATCTATTAATTAAAGCCCAAAAAATAGAAAATTGTCTCAGAAGGTCTAAACGAACTACGGCAGGTGAAAACACATTTTTTGTATTTTATCTTGTGTTGTTGCAGGTTAGAATACATGCGGCGGTAAAGTTAGAATTTTTTGTCTCAGCATTGTACGGATATCTAGCATACAATAAGGAATTCAGAAACACGAATCGTGGAAAACTCTAGAAAAGGGAAAAGTTAAGGGGCCACACCTAGTTGAAATGATTATACTAAGGTTTTAATATATTACAAGTGATTGATTTGTCCTTGAAAATTAGAACATCATATTACAATAGTCAACCATTGTGTTGAAATAAAGTGATGAATGGAGATCATACGGAAGTCCGACGACATTCACTGGTACGGTGGAAATTCGGAGCTAGTTGGTAGTCGGGCTGAACTTTGACATCAGTCGATGACCAGACATAAATTTGGCCTTAGTCGATGACCGAGAAGAAGTCCGACATCAGTTGGTTGTTAAGCGAATGTCCGACGGTGATCGAGGAGGATTTTGGTGTCAAGAGAACTCTATTTTCTCTCTCTTCCTTTCTTGGGTTCTCTTTCATGATTTAAACACAAATGATTTTTTAAATAAATAAATTATTATTTAATCATTTGAACTAGGCGTGGGCCCATAGCTTTTCCCTTTTTCTAGAGTTTTTCACGTAAAGAATCTCGTGTTTCTGAATTCCTTGTTTATATGCTTGATATCCGTACAATACTGAGACAAAAAAATTCTAACTTTACCGCCACATATATTCTAACATGCAACAACACACAATAAAAAATACAAAAAATGTGTTTTCACCTGCCGTTGTTCGGTTAGAGATACCCTCTCAGACAATTTTCTATTTTTTGGGCTTTGATTAATAGATAGCACCGGTCGACTTAACTTTATTTCCTGGAAATTCAGGCAAGTCTTCATCTTTGGTGTCTTCTCATAAACAAATCAAAGGAGAAAGTTAAACTGTTAAGGCAAAATTGTTCTATTAAATAGTAATAAAAAATTAAAAATTGGATAGATTTAAAAATTAATATTAAATATTAAAATTTTAGATAATACTAATCTTAAAGCATATCTAATGATGATATAATTTGTGTCTCAATATTTTGAAAACAAATGTTTTTTTTCTTAAGAGCTAAAATTAAAATCTAATGAAAAAGACTGCCGGTATTTTAGTAGGAACATATGCATTAGAAAATGTCTATGATAATTTTAAATATTAAAATGATATATTAATAAATTAGATATTTAAGACGAAAGAAATCGCTATGAAATAATAATAGAGAGTAGGTGCTTCTTAATTCACATTCATAAAAAATTATGGACGTATTCTCCATATAAAATTTCTCAATCTCAATATGTTTAATCAGAAGGTCATTGAGGGTGAAAGAGAATTGAGGGAACCAACCAGACAGTTCAGAGACCAATCAGAATACGTCACGTCACACGATATATAGCGGTACCGAGCATTGGTAACGAACAAAAATTGACATGGCTCATTTTGATTGGTCTCCAAACATGCACCGCCGAGTGTCTGCACATAATAATTTTTCCCTTGGGACGCCTATAGTATTTTATAAATTTTGTTGTGGCTATTGTAGAGTAAGCAATTTCGCTATTATGATTGCATAAAATAACTTTTCAACACATATTTTTTTTAAATGATGAGATAACAATAAAAAAAATAGTATCAAAATGAAATTATTATTATTATTTGAAAAACAAAACAATCTCGTCTCAAATAGATATTTCAATTCGACTTTCTAATGAAATTTCATAAGACTTATGTTTTGTTTGGGATAGATTTATTACTGTTAAAAAAAAAGAAATTGAATTAAAAAAATTGTGATAGAAATTTTTTTTTAATAAACATTAAGAAAACTGTCACAGACGAAGCCCTGAAAATCTTCAGCCCTATTTGAGAATATATATAATTTTCAAAAAGAAAATAGTTGCGAAAAAAAAAAAAAATTGCTCCTTTAGAAAATTCCGACATTTTATTTCTATAGTTATATAAAACAAAGATAAACCATCTGACCGCTCATGTGTTGCAGATAGAAAATCGGACGGACAATCACCGTTGATGATTTCCCTGGTGAAAAACTCTCCGTTCGTTTCGTCTTCTTTACTAACCGCCTTATAAAATTTCTAAGAAGCCTTTAACCGTCTTTTAGCTTCGCTTCTTCCTTGTCTCTGCTGCTTACGACTCTTCTGCCTGCTTTCTTCGTCTCGGAGGCATCTGTTCTGTAGGCGTTCTTCTGTGCTCCACTCCTCAGATTCTTCCCAAAAGGTAGCATTAGATCCTCAGAATAATCCATTTTTATTTTCCTATCGTCGATTCGATCTCTGGTTCCCGGAAAAATCAATGAAATTTTGTGTTCTGCACTGTTTTTCTCTCAGGTGGACGCGCTGGCTTTCCTGAATTTCCAAAAGATTGACTTTTTAAGAACAAAGCAGAAGAAAGTAATGGTAAATTGACTAAACTAATACCCTATAATCAAATACATGCTTATATTAGTTTATCTCGATCTTAATAGGTTGGTCCGATGATGGAAATGGGGGATGAAGATAGGGGACCGCCATGGCTAAAGCCTCTTTTGAAGTCCAACTTCTTCGTACCCTGCAAAATTCATGGCGTTTCAAACAAGAGCGAATGCAATATGTACTGCTTGGATTGCATCGGCAACGCCCTTTGTTCTTATTGCCTCGCTTATCACAAGGACCACCATGTCGTCCAGGTTTTTACCTTCTCTATCTCTGTTTCTCCGTCTTCTTCATCCTCTGTTTTGATGTTAAATTCTAGGTGCAAAATTCGATCTTTGCTTCAGATTCGAAGATCTTCGTACCACAACGTTATCAGGGTATCGGAAGTATCGAAATTTATAGACATTTCCTGCGTTCAAACCTACATTATCAATAGCGCGAAGATCGTATTTCTGAACGAGCGGCCACAGCCCAGGCCAGGAAAGGGCGTCACCAATACCTGTGAGATTTGCAGCAGGGGTCTCCTTGATTCCTTCCGTTTCTGCTCCCTTGGATGCAAGGTTCCCCTTTTATCTCAATTCTAACTCAGAAGATTTCGAACTTTTAAGCAAAACTTCTATTTCTTCTCTTTTCCTACCTTATTCATGCAATTAAGCCATAAAAATGTCGCCTTTCTTATTTCTGTACCGATTTGTGTAGCTTGGTGGAATGAAGAGAGACCCGGAGCTGACCTTCTTGCTTCGGGCGAGAGCAGGCCGCGAGTCAGAGCAGGGATCGGAATCGGACGAATCGTTGACACCGAGGAAACTACGCAAGACGTCAGCTTTCAGCCGTGGCATCTACTTGCTGTCGCCGACACCGGTATCAACACCATTGAAATCGCTCGAGGAAAACGCAGTCGATCGCCGCAGTGGCGCCACTTCTCCGGTCACACCGCCTATCATAAACTACAGAACTTCCAGGCGAAAGGGCGTTCCTCACAGAGCTCCTTTCTGAAAAAAAAAAGAGAAAAATTAATTTAATTGCCAGACTTTCTAAAATGTGAGGTTGTACAGAAGTAATATGTCAAAAACC